ACTGTTGACCCCCCCCCCCAAGCACCAAGAAGACAGAGCATCACTTGCCCCAGAGCCCCTATCTATACCTTGTGGCTAGTAGCCACTGATGGACCTCTGCTCCATATGCTTATCTAATTCCCTTTTGAAGAACGCGCATTCAAGCTACTTTCAGTGTACTTTGCAACTGGATTTTATTTATTTTTTATTTTATTAAATTTTCATCCCGCCCTCCCCACCGTAGCAGGCTCAGGGTGGCTTACAATACCTACCAATACGTATATACATTAAAACTTCACAATGTTAAAACAGAATTCAGTCAAGATTACTATATGTAGAAAAAACAAGTTACCTGTTGAATATGTAGAGCTGTTACCTGGTGAATATGTAGAGCTGCGGTGGCTCAAGTGGTTAAGACGCTGAACTGCAGGCTGTGGAAGGTCGGTAGTTCAGCAGTTCGAGACCCGAGTGTGCCGCATGACGGAGTGAGCTCCCGTCTCTAGTTCCAGCTCCTGCCAACCTAGCAGTTCGAAAGCAAGAAATTGCAAGTAGATAAATAGGTACCACTTCGGTGGGAAGGTAACAGCGTTCCGTGTGCCTTGGTGTTTAGTCATGCCGGCCACATGACCATGGAAACGTCTTCGGACAGCGCTGGCTCTTCGGCTTTGAAACGGAGATGAGCACCGCAACCCTAGAGTCGGATTCGACTGGCTTTCGAGCAAGGGAACCTTTTCCTTTTATGTAGAGATAAAGAGGAGTACTTAAGAGTAACCTAAGGATTATGCAGGAGGTTGTAGTACTGTGGGAAGCCATACGTAGGGGGGGAAAGGGAGGAGGGTAGGATATAAAAGGATAAGAATTGCAATACAAATGTTGGACTTTGTTGAATATATCCTAAAAATAAAATGTTTACCAAAAAAAAAGATGACTATATGTAAAACCATAACTATTCCAAATATTACAAATCTCTTCACAACTGGATGGTCGCCCACCCTCCACCCAGGCTGCCGGTCATCAGGCTAGCAATGCTATGAATGCTGATGTTGGGGCCAGGGCCATGATGTTAAAGGCGGCCCCCTAATCAAAGGCCTGGTGGAAGAGCTCCGTCTTGCAGGCCCTGCGGAACTGCAAAAGGTCCTGCAGGGCCCTGATGTCCTCCGGGAGCTCGTTCCACCAGTAAGGGGCTGCCACAGAAAAGGCCCTGGCCCTCATCGCGACCAGCCTGGCTTCTTTCAGGCCTGGGAGGACCAGGCGATTTTGGGATCCCGATCTCAGTGCTCTCTGGGGGACATACGGGGAAAGGCTGGTTTTTTTACTGTGTGAAATGGCAAAATCCACTTCCAAACGGTTGTTGAAGTGTATTGAAACGGCATTATTTAGCAGTGGCTCAAGTGGTTAAGACGCTGAACTGCAGGCTGTGGAAGGTCGGTAGTTCAGCAGTTCGAGACCCGAGTGTGCCGCATGACGGAGTGAGCTCCCGTCTCTAGTTCCAGCTCCTGCCAACCTAGCAGTTCGAAAGCAAGAAATTGCAAGTAGATAAATAGGGACCACTTCAGTGGGAAGGTAACAGCGTTCCGTGTGCCTTGGTGATTAGTCATGCCGGCCACATGACCACGGAAACGTCTTCGGACAGCGCTGGCTCTTCGGCTTTGAAACGGAGATGAGCACCGCAACCCTAGAGTCGGATTCGACTGGCTTTCGAGCAAGGGAACCTTTATATTTATAGTGTTTTTATATCTGTGGTTCATCTGTTATTGAGGATCTTCCCCATTACATTCTTGAATGCTCGATGTACGCCCAACCTAGGTTAAAATTCCTCTCTGGGACTTTATCAGACTTACGTTCCTACGCAGGCACTGAGAAGATTGCATTCTTGTTAGCTGATTCCAATGTCAACATATCTTGCTCTCGAGCAAGGAAACCTTTACCTTTACTAGAAGTGCCTTTTAGTCCAGCCCCAGTTCTATTCCTGGGGCAGATTCAGGTGGCTCTACCAATCGTTCCGTTTTTCCGAGCCTCCGGCGAGAGTGAGAACGGTTGCCGTATCAGATACGGAGCGCCAAGCACTAACGGTGCAGCTAAATCTGTTCTTTCAAGACAGATCACTCAAACCTCCCTCTCCCACTAGGCCTCAGAAGGTGGTTTGGCACGGCTCAAGTCCCAACGGGATACGGCTGATCAGCAGTTACTGCGAAGCCTGGCGAACGGCAGACCTGGCGGTCATGGGGCAGGCCTCGCCGCTCCGGTCTGGGAAGCTCTTGGACCAGAAAGCATACAGCTGCAGCAACCGGTTTATCGTCCTGTGCATCGAAAACAGTTATCTCTCCGACAGCCAAAGGAAATAAGAGCCCCCCTATCCCTACGCCCGCCCCCCGCCACCGCATGTAAATTAAAATTTTATTACAAAAAAAAGGTTGACACTGAAATGTAATTTTTTTAAAAAAAAATTGATGTAAATATTGTACTGTAATTGCACACCTAACCAAGAAGGTAATAACCAAAGAACGCATACCTCAGTGCAGGATTGTATTCCAGGAAGGTGGCATTCACTCTTTCAAAAGCCATTCCGACCCTGTGTGTGGAAGCTACGCAGGAAGTCAGCGGGGCTGAGCCATCACGTGGAAAGGCCCGACAAAGTGTGTGTGGGAGGGGAGTGCTCCCTATAATAAGCTTGTCTGGGGGCTGGTGCTGAAAGCTGTTATGGGAGTCGCAGGCAAGGTGTGCAGGACCACCCCCCGTATTGTAGGGACCTAGAACACGGCCTGGGACACTGCAGCCCAGTGCAAACGTGTCGTCGTGGCTGCCCCCGCCCATAAACTGCAACATGCCTGGCCAGGCCAGTTCACTATCCGTGGCTCAGCGGCATCCCGTTTTGCCTCCACAGAATCCAAAACCAGGATGCAAAGAGCTACGTTGTGCATGCCTGGCGCAGGCCCGTAGCCAGGGGTTTTTTTTAAATTCTGTGGGGCTTTTAAATAAGTCAGGGGAGGCACCCTCACACACCCCAAGCAAGCACCATAAATAAAATTTAAAAATGAAAGTTGGGGAGCCAGGGGGCTGGATGGGAAGCTGGGGGGGCTTGGTGTTAAGTCGGGAAGGCTGGGCCCCAAGAGGCCCCACTGTCAC